GAGAGCCGCCGCTGCCCACGGCCGCCCCCGCGCGACCTTCCCTCACTGCAAAGTCTCCTTCCTTCCCCACCCCCAGACCCTTCGCAGCTGCAGGGATGGAGCCTCCGCGACCCGCCCACTCCTCTGGTCTTGGTGCCCACACCCCCGTGCCCGGGCACTCGCCTGGCTCGCCTGGCAAGGTCGCCTCTGCCAGCCTGGCGCCCGCGACGCACCCTCGTGCCTCGCCTGTTCTCACTGCCAGCTTCGCGCACGCACCTGAGTCCCATGGCTCTGCCCTGAGACGTTATCTCTGAAATTTCCCTTCCCTCCTTGCCCGCCACGATGCCCGGTGTTGGAATCCCCTGCTGGTCCGTCTCCTGTTGCCCACCATGGGAATCGCCGGAAACCTACAGTGTTCTGCTGGTGGGCCCTGCAGAGTGGTGTATCTGCCCCACCGGGCTGCCCCCTTCCTAAAGGCCTGCTCTTCCCGCTTCTCAGTCTCCCCGGTCCCACCTCTGCCTCCACCTGCAGCTCTCTCAAACCCACGGAGGGGCTTCAACTCCTTGCTCCTTCCAGCTCCCCCACTGTAGTGCGACTCCTCCTACCATCAGCGCCCGGTGTCCTAACCGGGCTCCTTTCTTCAGGGCCTGCTCCCCTACTCTACAGATACTTAGTGAGAACCCTGCCAAGTGCCAGGAGCTGTCCTGGACGCTGGAGTAGGGCCAGAGCACGCGGCCAACGTTCCCTGTGTGCCTCGAGCATCCTAGTGGGGGGACCAGGCAATAAACAAAATCGGTAAATTATTGCTATATGGGGGGCTGGCAGGTGCCATGGTGGTTGGGGGCTCTGGATTCCTACATGGTGGACCATGCATGGTCTGAGTCCCGGATCTGGTGGTTTGCTTTCTGATTCCCCACCCCCCCACTCTGTCCCTCTTTGATCAAACTAAATAGATGGATAAATAAAGTTAAATAAAATAATTCTTTTTTAAAATTATTGCTATATGGCACGTTAGGAGGTGCAAATTTGCAGAAGAGTAGAAAGCTGAGCAGGCAGGTGGGATTGCCCTGGAGCCGGGTCTGACCTCAGCCATGAGGCTGAGGAGGGACTGGGCCGGGCTGGGTGGGGGGACACGCAGTGGGCAGAGGCGCCTCCAAGTCGGAGAGAAGAGGTCCCTCACTCTCTCGGTGTTCAGTGAGCAGTGGAGAAAACGGCGTTTCTGGGGACAGAGGAGAACTGACTGTGCAGGCGTCGTGGGGACCTTGGTTGCACTCTGAGATGGGGGAGAGCACTGGAGGGCGTGGTGCCACGTGGTGGGGACACCAGGCAAAGATGGTGACACAGGTCCGGCCTAGTGAAGTGGACTTGTGGGTGTATTCGAAGGTAAAGCCAACAGAATCTCCTGAAAACTGCCCCTGGGATGTTAAGGGGAAGGAAGCTGAGGGCCTGGAAGGAAGGGGCTGCAGTCCAGAGACAGGGAGGCTGTGGCCTGGAAGGGCTGGGGGAGGCCCGGGGCCACATCAGGGACTGCTGGGTTCAAGCTCCTGGAGATCCAAGTAGGTGAGCCAGGTGGGCTTTGGAAAGGAAGCTGGAGTCGCGGAGAGGTCGGCTGCACGGAACCTCTGGGCACATCGGTGGGTATTTGGCATTTAAAAGCCCTGAAATGGGCCGAGTCTCTGGCAGTGAAGGGGAAAAGGACGGGAGGACACTGGATCCTGGAGCCTCTGACCCAGAAAGGCTGGACGGAAGAGGAGCGGGGAGATGGAAAGCAGGACCAGGAGGGAGGGGTCCAGTCCGGCCCCCAGTGGGGAAGTGAGAGGAGGCCCAAGCACCTCCATTGTGAGCAGCGGCCCTGCGACTCCCCCATTTCTTCCACCCTGGCTGGGGATCTGAATCAGCGGCTAGACTCCCTTCTACCTCCAGTGCTCTAACCCCACACTCAGGAGCTGTGCCTCCTGTCCCTTTTTCTTGTTCACCCATTTCCTGTTTCAGCAAATTATATATATTTTTTCTTTTCTTTTTTTTTTTAAGAGAGGTTTTTGCTATAGGGTGCATGTGCTCGCCAGAAAGAGAGACAGAGAGACAGAGAGCGAGAAATCACCCCCCCAGGGGGGATGTCCACGCCGCAATCCCTTCTCCTCCACTCGCCTCTCAGGATCTTGGGCACACATGCACCCAGCATGAGTTTAAGCCACCAGGTCTGGGACTCGAACTGCGGTCGGCTACATGGGAGTTCAGGGACATAGCCATCACGCTAACTGCTGGTCCCAGCAAATTATATTTTCAAAGCGAGCCACTGTGAGGGAAATAGGAATCTTCCAGTGTGCCAGGGTGACCAGCAAATCGTCGGGGTGGCGCTGAAGACGGCAGGGGACAGCGCCCTTCCCCTGGCCTTTCCAAACTCCAGCTCCTCGCCTGGCCAGTGACCTGCTAAACACTCTTCATGTGGGTCTGTTACCTTCAAGGTGAAAGCCAGACTCCTCAGCACGTGTTCAAGCCAACAGCTCAACCTCCCCTCTTAGGGTCTGCTCACCCTGAAGGGTCCCTTTCCCCACTCCCACCCCAACTCCTGTGCTTTCTCTGCATTGGCAGACTCCACTCAACCCGGGACAGTCTTTAGCCGCCTTCCTCCAGGCGGTCCTCGGCCCCTCTCCGCGGACTGAGGCGTCCTGTGTGACCCCACAATGCCTTCCGCAGTGTCCAGAGAGGGCAGGGATGGCACGTACGTCCGTACGTCCTCCCGTGCCTGGTGTGGACACGGAGAACATCCAGGCCTGTCGACTGAATGGATGCCCCACCGCCTGCGCCCCCGCCTCCTCCCTGCTGCGCCGATGAGTTCCTGGTTTCTGCCTAAAGCGAAGGCCCTCCCGCTTCAGTCCCGGCGCCTGATGGTGGTAGACGCAAAATAAGTGTGTGTGGGGGGGTGAATGAAGAAATATCCAACCATAAAAACAGGAAGGGCCCGAGGCTACCAGGCCATAAATGTAGAAACAGAAAACACTGGGTCTGTTTTGTAAATTCAAATAGAGGATTGGCTCCTTCATCCCCAATAGCTAAGACAAAAGGCAGAGTCTGTATTGATGAGCGGTGGGCAAAACCTTCCTCTTACTATTTTCTTAACTATAAAAATAACGCACAGTCAGGGCCAGCCAGGTGGTATGGTGGCTAAGGCAGCTCAGTCCCACATGGTTGACAGCACAGATGGAGTCCCGGACCAAGGGCTTGAAAAAACACACTAGGTATGTGTGTATGTGTGCCCCAATCCCGAGGAGAGTGGAGGAGAAGGGACTGTGTCACCCCCGTGGGGAATGCTTTCTCACCTTTTTCCTCTCTCTCTCCCTGGTGAGCACAGGTGCTCTATAACAGAATTTTAAAATAATAATAATACATGCTCATAATTTAAAAAATAACATAAAAGAAAGGAATTTTTTAAAAGGAAGAAAAGAAGAAGCTTAAGCAATACTGAGAGGCATAGACACAAATAATCTCCTTCCATCCCCCTCTCCTTCAAGAAAACCATTTTAGTCATTTTTGTGTATCTTTCCAGGTAGCATCCACACACACACAGAGTTTTCTTATTCAAGTAAGCTGAGACTATGCACATAAGCCTTTCATAGCTTGCTTATTTTCTTTTTTTAGAAAAGAATTGTTTTGGGACCAGCAGTTAGCGTAATGGCTATGTCACTGAACTCCCATGTAGTCGACCACGGTTCAAATCTTGGAACCGGTGGCTTAAACTCACGCCGGGCGCGTGTGTGCGTGCCCAAGATCCCGAGAGGAGAGTGGAGGAGAAGGGATTGCGGCGT